TTATTTATTTATTTATTTATTTATTTATTTATTTATTTTGAGACATGGTCTCTCTGAGGCTTTGGATCCTCTCCTGGAACTAGCTCTTGTAGACCAGGTTGGCTTCGAACTCCCAGAGATCCGCCTGCCCCTGCCTCCCGAGGATTAAAGGCACGCGTCACCACCGCCTGGCCTGTAGTAGATGTTTTAAATGCTGTGTGCATGACTAGGGGAGCAGACTGTTCTTTCTGGCAGTAAAGAGGGGCAAGTTACCTTTGGTCCTAGCCTTCTCATGGTGGCTACATAGAGGGCTTGGTGCAGAGCTGTTAACTAAAGTCAGCAATGCAGACACACCTTCTAAGAAGGATTGTGGGGATTAATAGAGGTTTTTAATCCAGGATAGTCAGTGTAGGAGGCACTGTGTGCATATCAAAATGGCAGTAGGAAGGGCAATGCAGAGCAAATCGGGTGAGTTTTAACCTGTTATATGGTTTTCTTTTCTCTGTAACGTGAAAAATATTTGAGTATAACTTGTTAGCCTTCAACTCCTATAAAACTTACTTTTCATTGTTTTTACTTGTGTTTATGTGGTTCAAGCCTACTACTGCAAGTGCCAAAGGCGTAGGATCCCTAAATTAGTTGCCTGACATGGTTGCTAGAAGCCAAACTTGGGTCCTCTGGAAGAGAAGCAAGTGCCCTGCATTCCTGAGCAATCTCTCCAGCTCCTGGTCTTGAACTCTTAATCTTCTTGATCTGCTTGCTAAGATACGGATATGGACCACCATATCTAGTCCGCATGCTATGTGGCTTCTAAAAGCCTGGTGGTCACATGTCTTCAGGACACGGTCAAACTTCCCTCCACTCTCCTCAAGCCCTTATGATACCAGAGAACTGTCTTTGTGCTACTCAATTGTGATCTCCTCCTTTGTTTCTAAAATTCACTGAGCACACAATTATTCTCCTATCTGTGGGTCTAATCTGATAGCCACTAAAATTCCCTGGGACCACGGAGAACGGATCACAAGATACACAACGAAACCCACTTTAAGAATTTATTTAGAGAGATAAAGACATGTATGTGCACAAGGCCTGAGGAAGTTCGTGCAGAAAGAGTGTAGAGCTGGTGATTCCAGCTTTTAAAGGCTGCCTAGGGCATGGGCACAGGGGCTTAGTAGCTGTGGCATACATAGATCCCATGACCTTGCTGCATGTACATCAGGCAGGACATGAGGGCCCTGGGTAGCCATGTAAGTTGCCTGAATGTTTGATGTCACATGTGTGGTCCTGGAACCCGGATGTGCCAATGCTTGGGGTGGGTAGAGATTTTGCCAAAACGCTTGTGATGGAAATGGTAACAGCCACAAAATAATTTTGTATCACAATTTCATTTAATCTGTGTGATTAGTAAAGTATATGTCCATGGCTTCAATATTGGTCATTGTTGATGGCTGACTTCATTAAAGCAATTAATTGTAAGGTTTGTAAGGTTTTTTTTTTTTATTGAGTATGCTCTGGGAAGAAATAAAATGTGAAAAGAAGTGATTGCCGTGATATTACCATTTGAGACATAATCTTAAAATCATCCCTTGCTGGAAAACAAGTTTTGGCATAATTCGTTTGGCATCATATTGCATGAGTTCTTATTGGTCTTCACACAAACACAAGAAACAATATATTTGCAACCTAAAGCTATAAAGATGATAGAGAACAGCTAAGTTTTTATGCAAAATAGACACTTGATTCCTTGTGACTATGTATCCACAATTTTTTAATTTTCATTCTATGTTTTTTTCACATCTTGTATCTTGATCCTTCCTAATGCATTCCTTCATATCTGCCCTCAGCCCCTGCACAATTAAATGCTGGAGTAAAAAGGAAGAAAATAAAATGAGAAACTTTTTTTAAAAAGTGAGGAATTTTATAGAGGAACCCTGTCTGGAAAAGCAAAAACAAAAAAGTTAGGAATTAGGACACCTGGGAAACATGCCTAGGACTGAAATCAGCCCTCTGAATGTGGGTGACAGTTTTGTGTGGCTTGGGCAGTTTGTGGGGCCACTGGTAGTGGGGTGAACATTTATCCCTGGTGCATGAACTGCCTTTTGGGGGCTCATTCCCTATGGAGGGATACCTTGCTCAACCTAGATAGTGGGGGAAGGTCTTGTTCCTGCCCCAATGTTATATGAGACTTGTTGATTCCCAATGGAAAGCCTTATCCTACCTAAGGAGCAAATGGAAGGCATGACTTGGTGGGGGACTTGGTAGGATTGGGGGGAGGGAGTGTGGGGGAACTGGCATTGGTATGTAAGATAATAAAAAAGATTAAGAAAAAGAAAATAAAAAGATCACTTAAATCATAAAAAACAAAGAAGAAAAAAATCTCATCATGGACAATGTAGTGCAACTCTAAAATTAGGAATTAGGACAGCTGTAACCCGATTTGTTCACACACCACTACTTGCAAGTATTCATTGCAAAGAGTCCTTTGTCTGGCTTGAGGTCCCTGGTCTTCACTACATGTTTGATTCTTGGCTCCCACTAGGACTCTTTCTTGACATTCTGTGTTGTGGAGATCCTGCAGCTTTGGATCTACTGGTCAGGTCCCTCCATGTGCTCCAGATCATAGACAGGGTGGATGTTGGGGCAGATTAAATTATACTTAACTCTGGGTTTGGGCCTGGGCAACTGTAGGGTTGGTTCATCAGACAGAAGATGGAGACAGCTCTCCTATGCTCAGTTTCAAGTCTGGGTCACCCACACCTCAGATAACAGGGCTGGCTCTGTCGTGCTGCCCTGGCGAGGTGAAGGACTGATTTCAAATGTTGCCCCTGGTGGGGATCAGGGATAGCTCCTCCACTCTTATGACCCCAAAGCCAGCTCTCCCACCTACCTCCGGCATTGGGTTGGGGGTGGGGGTAGGAAGAAGACACTTCTCCCTTGCCGATGTCACCAGAAAACAAATGGGAAATGGGGACAGCTCTCCTGTGGTCAGTTTTTGGGCTTGCTGTCTCACACCTACACTAACTAGGTTGGCTGTTGTACCACCCTGGTCGGGTACAGGGCCTACTGTTCTAGGCGTCACACCTGGTGTGATCAGGAATGGCTCTCCATACTGACTCACCAGGTCTAACATGCCTCAGGCATTGCTGGGCAGAGGGGAAATTCTCCTCTACCTGAGCTGCCACAAGCAGATGGGTGATGGGGACAGCTCTCCCATGCTCACAATTTCAAGTCGGGCTCACCCACACCTCCGCTAACAGGTTCAGCTCCCTTCCACAAGTGCCTTTTACGCTGACAAACCCTGATATCCTTTCACTCAATCCACAGTGCAGGAGCTCAAACCCTGGACCCCAGGACAAACTAGGCTATTGCTCAACCATTGAGCTCAACCCACACACCTGAAAACTCAGCCTGTCCTCTTCACTGTGTGGTACTGGATGTCAGAGCCACATGAGTCAGGCAGGTACCCTCCTACAAACAGCATCTCCATTTTAATTGGCCAGTTCATTTTTCTTATTTCTTTGTGAAACTGGGTTTTCTATTTGAAGACCATTTTTTAAGATTAGCTATATATGTGTGTTTTGTGGTTTTGTGGATATGAAAGTAGGGTCCCATCCAGGTTAACAGTCCTATCATCTGATGCCACCTTTTCAGAGCCATTTGAAAGCCACAGAATCCAAACTTGGGTCCTGCTAAAGAAGCTGCATGTTCTGGGAACTGGAGAAATGGCTCACTGAATATGAGAAGTAGCTGCTATTCCAGAGATCTGGGTTCAATTCCCAGAGCTCATATGGCACTTTCAGGGGATCTGACATCTTCATACCCACTGCACATAAAATAAGAAAGAGAATCCTGCAGAATATTTGTTTAAAAACACTATGTGTGCCGGGTGGTGGTGGCACACGCTTTTAATCCCAGCACTTGAGAGGCAGAGGCAGGCGGATCTCTGTGAGTTCGAGACCAGCCTGGTCTACAAAAAGCTAGTTCCAGGAAAGACTCCAAAACCACAGAGAAACCCTGTCTCGAAAAACCAAAA